TCTATTCTATTCTATTCTATTCTATTCTATTCTATTCTATTCTATTCCATTCCATTCTATTCTGTTCTATTCTATTCTATTCTGTTGTATTCCATTCTATCTCACAAAGCAAATGAAGATCTCTTAACTCTTCTAAGTACAGTACTCAAAAACTTCGGTAGATTAAGTACATGTACGTTTATTTTTCTGAAGTTATGTGAAATATAGAACAACTGAATGGAGTTTGCTGTTATTTTCAGACATACTTTCCTGGATTTCATTGTACAGTGTTTCCGTTTGTCAACTTTTCAAATGCTCAAATTTGCATTTTTAAGCACAGAAAATGATCGTTCAAATGATTGGCCGTAGGTGTTGTGTTCGTTTTTGTTTTTAAACTTGACACGAGCTCTCCTGGTTGGCTGGTCGGTCTTAAAACTCCGCCCTCTTTGCAGGTTTGAAGACGATTGTCGGCGCTCTCATCCAGTCAGTGAAGAAGATGGGCGACGTCATGATTCTGACCGTGTTCTGCCTCAGCGTCTTTGCTCTGATTGGACTTCAGCTTTTCATGGGAAACCTGAAACAGAAATGTGTTCTGATGCCACCGCTGAACACGTCGGCCGAAGCCCTCAATGCCAGTTTCTATGGCAACGACACCTACGACAGCAACAGCACTCACTTTGATTACGACAAGTACATTAACAACCCAGGTAGCTTCAGCTGAAAGTTAGGATTTTTTAAATTATATTAATCTAGTCCCATAGAAACAAACTTTAATCTGTTTTTCTTTGTAACAGAGAATCATTACTACCTGCCAGGACAACTTGATGCTCTGCTGTGTGGAAACAGCTCTGATTCTGGGTACCTTTAAATAAACATCATTATTATTTATTTATTTGTTTTGTTATATTTTATTGATGATGATGTTTTGTTCAGAGTATGTCCTGATGGATACATCTGTCTGAAGGCCGGGAGGAACCCAAACTACGGCTACACCAGCTACGACTCCTTCAGTTGGGCATTTCTGGCTCTGTTCAGACTCATGACCCAGGACTACTGGGAGAACCTGTTCCACCTGGTCAGTATCAAACTAGTCCCATTTCAGCAGCTTGTCTGAACAGCAGAATGTCCAGCTCATTTATTTTTACCTATTGTTTAGCTGGTTTTAGCTTTTAGCTTATGATCCACTCATTTTAACTTAACAAAATTAGTTTCCCAACTGAGTGTGTGACACTTGAGTTAGGACCCAAATAGACTCCAAGGGGAGACAGGAAGGTAAAGTTTAAGTTATTGTTTATTTGTCATATGAAGGTCAACACAAGGTCAACAAATCAATGAAATGCGCAGGATGAGAAGAACCGCCTCGACTCCCCCCCACCCCCCCAAAAAGAAGAAAGAAATACCAAGAAATACAAAAGCATGCAACATAAGTACAAAACAAAGCACCAAAAAGGGAAAAAAAAATGCAACATCTACGAGGTCCAAAAGGAATATAGTAAACAACATGGTAGAATACAAAAGTGCATGTAGGATGAATCGGTACAAACAAGTCCCTCACAGGCAGTAACGCTGCTAAATGCACATGATACATGTTGTACACAACATACACCACACAGGTTGTGTGACAGGCCACTGCACAGGCAGTGAGATGAACTGAACCATGACTGCAAAGCAGCGACACACATGATACAGCCACATCGTGCAGCAGCAGCAGCAAACATATTAGGTGTACCAGATGTGACTCAGTTCTGTTGAGCCGGTGGATGGAGAAGTCGTCCGGAGCCACAGCACAGTCGGGGATGGACAACTCCAGCCGTGATTCCATAAAGGCAAAGACACAACTGCTCCTTATGTTCCACTCGCAATAAATCAGTGTACGCAGGTCATCCAGTTCACTCCTCAGAGACTGAACGCATGAAAGCAGGACCGAGGGGGTTTGTTGTGTCTCTGGCGGGACCTACACAAAACACCAGCTCGCTTCCCTCTCTGTGGTTTCCTCTTATGGCACCCAAGTAAACAAAGGACCCAGGATAAAATGTTCACTGTGGAGTCCCCAAAAGTCGGCCCAAAGTCCCCACTCATTGACGATTGTAACTCCAAAAGTGTGTTGCGGTCATACCCGTAGTGTTTAGTGCAGTGAAGGTGCAAAAAGTCAACACAAAAACAACAAGGAACCAAAAAAGTGTGAGTCAAAGTGATGCGCTCATTAGTGCTGCCATGCTGCGGCACACGTTGATGATGAGGCGAGAAAAAAAGAAGAAAAGTGAAAAAAGGGAAACTTTTCCTTCTACCGCTCGTGTGCCTCTAAACCGTCTTCGACTCGTGTTTGTGTGTTTGCAGACGCTGCGAGCAGCAGGTAAAACCTACATGATCTTCTTCGTGTTGGTCATCTTCCTCGGTTCGTTCTACCTCATCAACCTCATCCTAGCTGTGGTCGCCATGGCCTACGCTGAGCAGAACGCAGCCACCATAGCTGAAGCCAAAGAGAAGGAGGAGGAGTATGCTCAGATCTTGGAGGCGCTGAAGAGGAGAGAGGAGGAGGTGCAAAGTGATGGATGGAAACATTCAGTGTTGCTCAAACATAACACTGAACATTTGTCTTGTGTCTTTACAGCTGGCAGCCAACGGGGCGACACTCTTAAAGAAACAAGACGAGCAGGAACACGCGGCTATGAATGGTACGCTGACACACTGACCTTCTTAGTCCACAGACCCAGGCACAGTTTGGTCCTCTCAACCAGTCCAGACATATAGCAACCCAGGATCTGTTCCTCTCCACTGTTGCCTCTGTGCTGCTCAGGATGAGGCACTGAACCAAAGTGAACATTTGACACAATCTTCATCCCATGAACTGAATGAACTTGAACTGAAACTTGAATTGAAAACCCCTGAATTTCCCTTTAGTTCTGTATTTGGTGGTGTGACGAAAACATTGTGATTCGTGTATGAATGGATCTTAAAATTGAAATTCATATGGGTCATCTGTTCATCTCCGTCTTCAAATAACCCGGGTAACGAACAATTTCCTCACTAAGCAGCTTTTTTTGTTTCAGACTTCGAGGAGGACCAGAGGCCATGTCCTCCATGCTGGTATTCATTTGCTGACATCTTCCTCAAGTGGAACTGCTGTGGCTGTTGGAGATGGCTGAAACAACTGTTGTACACCATCGTCATGGATCCTTTTGTCGATCTCGCTATCACCATCTGCATCGTCCTCAACACAGTCTTCATGGCCATGGAGCATTACCCAATGACCGTAGAGTTTGAGGAGCTGCTGAGCATAGGAAATCTGGTGAGTGACAAACCGAATAAACTCATTGGGCATATTTATGTCTGATGATCCAATGATATACTAACACCGTCATTTATTTAGCCGACTGAGCTTTTTTCAGTTGTTAAAATGAGTCTGACCTCTGACCTCTGACCTCCAGGTCTTTACAGGAATCTTCACAGCTGAGATGGTCCTCAAGCTTCTTGCGATGGACCCATATCACTACTTCCAGGTCAGAGTTTCCCTCTCAGAGGTTACAGATTGCTAGACGGCTGTATTCATAGTTACCACACTGTGTTGTTGTCATGGTTGCAGGTTGGCTGGAACATCTTTGACAGCATCATTGTCACCATGAGTCTGGTCGAGCTGGGTCTGGCTAATGTACAGGGTCTGTCTGTGCTTCGCTCCTTCCGATTGGTCAGTCTTAAGGACAGCGTTATTAGAGACAGGTGCATCACCTGTGTCCTCCTCACCTGTCCCTCCTGTCTCATCTTCTGTCCAGATGCGAGTGTTTAAACTGGCCAAATCGTGGCCCACGCTCAACATGTTGATAAAGATTATCGGGAACTCAGTGGGGGCTCTGGGGAACCTGACGCTGGTTCTTGCCATCATCGTCTTCATCTTTGCTGTCGTTGGCATGCAGCTGTTTGGAAAGAGCTATAATGACTGCGTCTGCCGCATTTCAGAGGACTGCGAGCTTCCACGCTGGCACATGAACGACTTCTTTCACGCCTTCCTCATCATCTTCAGGATCCTGTGTGGCGAGTGGATAGAGACCATGTGGGACTGCATGGAGGTTGCGGGTCCAGCCATGTGTCTAATCGTCTTCATGATGGTGCTGGTCATTGGGAACCTGGTGGTGAGTCTCTGCAGTTTGATAGTGTCTGGTTTTCTGCTCTAGTTATTAAAATCTCAGACTGGGGTCATGGACTTGCCTTGTTTTAGGCCCGGACTGTGTTAGAACCCTTGTCCTCAGGTCCTCAGTTCCTTTGTGTGTCACCTCCCTTATTTCAGGTCCTGAATCTGTTCCTGGCCCTGCTGCTGAGCTCGTTCAGTGGTGACAATCTCTCAGGTTCAGAGGATGAAGGAGAAAACAATCTGCAGATCGCCATCAACCGGATTAGCAGAGCTGTGGCCTGGATCAAGGAACATATCTGGGCTCTGCTGGGGAAGAAGGCAACGAAGAACTCAGACCACACGGGTGTGCACAGATTTGGTTTGTAGGTTTTGTAGTTAAAATTTAAACGATTCATTATGCATTTGAAATTAATCTTTTCAGCTGAAAAGACAGAGGAAGACGATGCAATGAAGGAGGTTTTACCTCTGACCGTGGTGACCTCAGAGCAGCCAATAACACAAATCACAGCTCCCAGCAGTAACCCAACCAGCTGCTATCAAAGCATCGTATCCCTGAAGGTCCCCATCGCTAAGGCTGAATCTGACCCCGAGACATCTGAAGATGATGAGGACGAGGACGTAGAGCAGCTCTCAAAAGTAACATCTGTTCTTTTCTCTGTTTTTTAATTTAGTTTGTCCATTCTGTGGTACGTCAAGCAAAATAAGCCATCAGCAATAGTCAGCCATTGATTACTGGCATGGTTTGTGTTGATTCTGTACTGCTGACAGTTGATCTGCTGAACATGTTTAGGGCAAGGAATCGTCAGTCTGCAGCACTGTGCAACAAGCTCCTGAAAAGAGCGAAGAAAAAAAAGAAGATGAAGATACTCCTGAGGACTGCTGCACTGAAAGTATGCACACACACTCGGGTTAAAGCTGCCATAGGCTGGACAAAGATCTTCACAGTCTCAACTTCCTAAGGCTCCATCCACATGGAAACAGTGTTTTCTGAATACACAACAGTTGTTTATCATTTCAGCCTTGCCACCACACAAAAACAGCATTTTGGGATCTCCTAAACCAAGGTGTCCAAACCTTTTGTCACACTACTTCAATTTAAAAGTATTTGTGAGCCACAGAAATGTGAATGTGTGATTAAACTAATATGTATTAACTGTCAACAACATAAACAGACTATGTTTAGTGAAAAGACCAAAGTATATTGGAGATCCAGAACATGAAAAGCGTTGCAAACATTTACTTTATTGAAATAAAAGCATTCAATTCCTTTGATTTGTTGGGTTATTGGGGGTTTGCTGGGAACATACTGTACATTTTGGTCTTTTCTCTGGAACAAAATCAAAATATGGATGTCCTAAAAGTGTGGTTGAATTGAAGCACTGAAAAACTGAAGCTAGCAGTCACTGAAGTGTTTTGAAGAGGAATTGGTGAAGGTGATCAAACTGTGCCCACTCCATATTCCATTAACTCCTGTGGGAACCCTCAGGGCCTTCATCGCCTTCAGAGAAGGCCTAAGTTCAAATATCTCATTGGTTAGGCCTCAGCTGTTTAGAGAAGGCAGAACTCTGTAGGAGGAATTTGTTTAATAACTGACAGAAAAATTAACCAATCACAGAGTTGATGTAGAGTGGGAGGGACCAAAACACCCTGAGCCTTCGGGAAGGCCCTGCAAGGCTTTTTTGTTTGTTTTTATCATGTCAAAATTTGTGATGCATTCAACTGCAAACTATAAATTCAGCATTCCACACAAAAATTGTAGTTACTCTAAAAAAATTAGGTTTAAATATCGTGTTTATGTTTACATTAATAATGTTCAATATCAAAGTTGTGTTTTGGTTTCATTATATGATGACATTTTACAGAAACAGTAAGTTCTGTGGGTTACTATTAAATTTCAGTGTGAATAATTTAAATTGTTCTTGAAGGTAAGAGATTGGGCGAGCCACGTCTCCTTCTGGGTAGTCCTGACACTGAAATGGGCGAACACTTTCAGGTCGTGTGTTCAGATGGGTTGTTCTGGTTTTTCTGTTTAGTGTTCGGCGTTTATGTTCAGGCTGAGTGTCTGTAAAGAAACGACGCCATGAATCAGATGTTGTACTTCATGTATAAAAAGAGGAGACGCCCCTCCTGTTAACAAGTCACAGATTTGTGAAACCAAAAGTATAGGGATATGATCGCACCGTCACTCTGCGTCTTTAACATTAGCATTTAATCGGATGCAACGATGTTACACCCTAACTTATGCCCCATCGCTTATAGTCATGATTCACACGGCTTCACTCCATAGTCATTTGAAAAATTTAAAATTGAGTTGATTCAAACATTTGCTGTCTGTGTACGTTTTGTATTTCAGAGTGTTACAGTCGCTGCCCATGCCTGGACATAGACACATCCCAGAGCAGAGGAAAGATGTGGTTTAACCTCAGAAAAACCTGTTTCTCCATCGTAGAGCACAACTACTTTGAGACATTCATCATCTTTATGATCCTGCTGAGCAGTGGAGCTCTGGTAAACAATATACATTACCGAGTGATCTTTTTTTTATTTTGAATTTCTTCAGACTGCTCAACAGTTGATGTTTTACTTCTTTGTCTTTAACAAACTTTTCATTGCTGGCTCCTGGTTGGCTGCGTTTGTGTGGCAGAAGAACAGCAAACTAACAGACCTCCGAGCTTTAACCCGTTGGTTGGCATGACTAACTGTGACTACTAACATGGCTGCTAAATGCACACAGGTGAGCATTATCTCTCTACCTTTGTTAACTACACTGATTAAAGACAACAGAGGAAACAATGGTAGCACCACGACCTGAAATGTTGGCAGAAACTTGAACGCTGAAGCAGAAACTGAAAAAAACCTGAAACTGTATTAGAAAAGGCAGTTGTTGTGTCGGGGCAGCAGGAAAACCAAAAGGCAAACTTTAATGGGAGCTTGCAGAGAACTGGTGGCAGAAAGTATCAGAATTTAACAGTAAATTACAGAAACAGGAGTTTAAATATGATTCAATGAGAGTGAACAAGTGAGCTGACAATGGATGGGTAACAGGTGGGCGCAGCTGAGGGGAACAATAAGAAAATGAAATAAAATCCAAAAAGTAAGAACATTGTATACATACTGAATACAAGAAACATCACAAAATAAAGGTCAATGTTACAACGTGCACACAGCTCGATGGGTTCCAGAAATTACTTCCTGTTTACTGCAGTAACAGCTGTGGAATACAACTGCCAGATGTTGGTCTGTCTGTAGCTGTTGGTCTGTCTTCAGCTGTTGATCTGTTTCCAGCTGTTGGTCTGTCTTCAGCTGTTGGTCTGTCTTCAGCTGTTGGTTTGTCTCCATCTGTTGGTCTGTCTCCATCTGTTGGTCTGTCTTCAGCTGTTGGTCTGTCTCCAGCTGTTGGTCTGTCTCCAGCTGTTGATCTGTTTCCAGCTGTTGGTCTGTCTCCAGCTGTTGATCTGTCTCCAGCTGTTGATCTGTTTCCAGCTGTTGGTCTGTCTTCAGCTGTTGATCTGTTTCCAGCTGTTGGTCTGTCGCCAGCTGTTGGTTTGTCTCCATCTGTTGGTCTGTCTCCATCTGTTGGTCTGTCTTCAGCTGTTGGTCTGTCTCCAGCTGTTGGTCTGTCTCCAGTTTTTGATCTGTCTCCAGCTGTTTGTCTGTCTGTAGCTGTTGGTCTGTCTCCAGCTGTTGGTCTGTCTCCAGTCTTTGGTCTGTCTCCAGCTGTTGGTCTGTCTTCAGCTGTTGATCTATCTGCAGCTGTTGGTCTGTCTTCAGCTGTTGGTCTGTCTTCATCTGTTGGTCTGTCTCCATCTGTTGGTCTGTCTCCATCTGTTGGTATGTCTCCAGCTGTTGGTCTGTCTTCAGCTGTTGGTCTGTCTTCATCTGTTGGTCTGTCTCCATCTGTTGGTTTGTTTCCATCTGTTGGTCTGTCTCCAGCTGTTGGTCTGTCTCCATCTGTTGGTCTGTCTCCAGCTGTTGGTCTGTCTCCAGTTTTTGGTCTGTCTCCAGCTGTTGGTCTGTCTGTAGCTGTTGGTCTGTCTCCAGCTGTTGGTCTGTCTCCAGTCTTTGGTCTGTCTCCAGCTGTTGGTCTGTCTTCAGCTGTTGATCTATCTGCAGCTGTTGGTCTGTCTTCAGCTGTTGGTCTGTCTTCATCTGTTGGTCTGTCTCCATCTGTTGGTCTGTCTCCATCTGTTGGTATGTCTCCAGCTGTTGGTCTGTCTTCAGCTGTTGGTCTGTCTCCATCTGTTGGTCTGTCTCCATCTGTTGGTTTGTCTCCATCTGTTGGTCTGTCTCCAGCTGTTGGTCTGTCTCCATCTGTTGGTCTGTCTCCAGCTGTTGGTCTGTCTCCAGTCTTTGATCTGTCTCCAGCTGTTGGTCTATCTGTAGCTGTTGGTCTGTCTCCAGCTGTTGGTCTGTCTGTAGCTGTTGTTCTGTCTCCAGCTGTTGGTCTGTCTCCAGTCTTTGGTCTGTCTCCAGCTGTTGGTCTGTCTCCAGCTGTTGGTCTGTCTCCAGCTGTTGGTCTGTCTGTAGCTGTTGGTCTGTCTCCAGCTGTTGGTCTGTCTGTAGCTGTTGGTCTGTCTCCAGCTGTTGGTCTGTCTTCAGCTGTTGATCTATCTGCAGCTGTTGGTCTGTCTTCAGCTGTCGGTCTGTCTTCAGTCTTTGGTCTGTCTCCAGCTGTTAGTGGGTCTCCAACTGTTGGTCTGTCTTCAGTCTTTGGTCTATCTCCAGCTGTTATTGGGTTTCCAGCTGTTGGTCTGTCTTCAGTTGTTGGTCTGTCTCCAGCTGTTAGTGTGTCTTCAACTGTTGATCTATCTGCAGCTGTTGGTTTGGCTCCAGTTGCTGGTCTGGCTCCAGATGTTGGTTTGTCTCCAGCTGCTGGTGTGATTAAGAAGAATCTAATGGTCATGCATTTAAAACAAAGTTACAGATGTTCTGTCTGTTGATCAGCTGTTGTTCACTGTCAGCTGGCAGAAAACATCTGTCCAGGTGATGACATTGATCTGCGTGTTAACAGGCATTTGAGGACATCTACATGGAGCAGCGTCGGGTCATCAAGGTCATTCTGGAGTACGCAGATCAGGTGTTCACCTACGTGTTCGTGCTGGAAATGCTTCTCAAGTGGGTTGCGTATGGATTTAAGACGTACTTCACCAACGCCTGGTGCTGGCTGGATTTCCTCATCGTAGATGTAAGAACATGACAAATGACGGAGATCAGTTATTTTTACAGTCAGTTTTTGTTTTCTTGTTATTGGTGTCCACAAACCAAAACTTTTATCTTACCTGTAAAACTAACTTAAACCCTCTTGGTTTTCTCCTGTTTTGATTCATGTTTCAGGCTGAGAAGTAAACAAAAGCCTTTACTTCTTTTATTGTTCAAAGCAAAACAAGTCCAAGCTTTTATATACTCTGACTCATCTGCATTTACAAACTGGTTTCAATTGGATCAATGGTTTAACTGAATAACTGGTTTGGTGCAGGGCTCTTTGTCCTCCTGACAGCAGAGGGCGCTGCTGCAGAGAGATGAAACCATCTGGTCACCTGCAGGATGAACATCTCCAGATGATTCTGATTTTTTACAGGTGTCACTGGTGTCTCTGACGGCAAACCTCCTGGGATACTCTGAGCTGGGAGCAATCAAATCCCTGAGGACTCTGAGAGCACTGAGACCCTTGAGGGCCCTGTCTCGCTTTGAGGGCATGAGGGTAAGACAGGTGTCAAAGATGCTGACAGACAGGTGTCTGGTTCGTGGTTTCACTGTCTGTGTCTGTACCTGTGGCAGGTGGTGGTGAATGCATTGGTTGGAGCCATCCCCTCCATCTTCAACGTCATGCTGGTGTGTCTGATCTTCTGGCTGATCTTCAGCATCATGGGCGTGAACCTGTTCGCAGGGAAGTTTTACTACTGTTTCAACGAGACGTCAGAGGAGCTGTTCACCGCTGACCAGGTCAACAATAAGACCGAATGCTTCGCTCTGATTCAGGAAAACTTCACCGAGGTCCGCTGGAAGAACGCCAAGATCAACTTTGACAATGTGGGGATGGGCTACCTGTCGCTGCTGCAAGTGGTCAGTCTCTGGTCTTCACTGGGTCCCTCATCAGGTTGGTGTTTTCTGGTTTCTGAACAGCTGGGTCTTGTTTTTTGTTTAGGCCACCTTTAAAGGCTGGATGGACATCATGTACGCAGCAGTGGACTCCAGACAGGTCAGAACTGCTCATTCTGTCACCAGTACCAGTACTTTCAAGTTATAACACTAGTTCTGGTATTAATACATATTCTGAAACTTGTGCTAACCTTAGTACTAAAACCAGAACCATTGCTGGTCTGGAGACGAATCCTGATCGTGATAAACTCGACCCTGGTGCAGTTTTTAACATTTTAATCATAAGAAGAAGAAAACGATTGCACATGTCTGGATGCTGACTTGTCTCTGGTTGCCATGGTTACCAAATGTAGATACAGTCACAGCCGGTGTATGAGGACAACCTGTACATGTACCTGTACTTTGTTATCTTCATCATCTTTGGCTCATTCTTCACCCTCAACCTCTTCATCGGAGTCATCATCGACAACTTCAACCAGCAGAAAGCTAAGATAAGTTTCTCCTCGCTGAAACCAGAACCCTGCTGGTGACGAGCACGATTCAGCTCCTCGCTGTCAGTCAGTTAACGTGTCTGTCTGTGTTTACCTCGGAGGGACGGACATCTTCATGACTGAAGAGCAGAAGAAGTACTACAACGCCATGAAGAAACTTGGCTCCAAGAAGCCTCAAAAACCCATTCCTCGACCCAAGGTCTGTTGAGTGACCACCTGACAAACTTTATTCAAACAAAACGGTAAACACCAGTGTGACATCTTTTATTAAAATGATTTTAATATTTCTGTTTCTGTCCGCTCAGAACAAGTTTCAGGGTCTGGTCTTTGACCTGGTGACCCAGCAGGTTTTTGACATCTTCATCATGGTGTTAATATGCCTCAACATGGTGACGATGATGGTGGAAACAGACGAGCAGAGCGCTGAGAAGGATAACATCCTGTACTGGATCAACCTCGTCTTCATCATCATCTTCACCTCAGAGTGCATTCTGAAGCTCATCGCTCTCCGGCAGCACTACTTTGCTGTTGGTTGGAACATCTTTGACTTTGTGGTGGTCATACTGTCCATCATTGGTGAGCAGGTCCTAAATTTAACAATAAATCTGGGATTTGCTTTGATCTCACAGTTAAAAAACATATTTTCTTCATTCTCTGAAGACAAACGGTAAAATGCTTCTTTCTGTGGATCACTCCATCACTCCCTTCTTCTCCTCAGGTCTACTTCTCGCGGACATCATAGAGAAATATTTTGTTTCGCCCACTCTCTTCCGTGTGATCCGATTGGCTCGGATCGGTCGCATCCTTCGCCTCATTCGTGGAGCCAAGGGAATCCGAACGCTGCTGTTCGCCCTGATGATGTCACTTCCTGCCCTCTTCAACATTGGCCTCCTACTTTTCCTCATCATGTTCATCTTCTCTATATTTGGCATGTCTAACTTTGCCTACGTAAAGAAGGAAGGCATGATCGACGACTTCTTCAACTTTGAGAACTTCGGGAACAGTATGATTTGTCTGTTTATGATCACCACGTCAGCGGGATGGGACGGTCTGCTCAGTCCTATCATGAACACACCACCGGACTGCGACCCGGACTTTGAAAACCCAGGCTCAACTGTCAGAGGGAACTGTGGCAACCCTGGTGTGGGGATCGTCTTCTTCACCTTGTACATCATCATGTCCTTCCTGGTGGTGGTCAACATGTATATCGCCATCATATTGGAGAACTTTAATGTGGCCACAGAGGAAAGCGCTGACCCACTGTCTGAGGACGACTTCGAAATGTTCTATGAAACCTGGGAGAAGTTCGACCCAAAGGCTTCACAGTTCTTACATTACAGGTGAGTCTTACCTGCAGTGAACCTGGAACTTCCTGTCTGAGTATTCAGTCTAACACGACTCTGATGTGTTTCGCAGCAAGCTGTCAGACTTGTGTGACGCTCTGCAGGATCCTCTGAGGATTCCCAAACCCAACATCGTCAAGTTAATCCAGATGGATCTGCCCTTGGTTCCAGGAGACAAGATCCATTGTATGGACATCTTGCTAGCTCTCACTGGAGAGGTGATGTCTTGTATGTTGTCATAATTACGTCATGTCACGTCATGATACATGCTATGTGACTCTATGCTCTGTTATGCTTACAGGTTTTGGGTGACGCAGTGGCGATGGATGCTTTGAAGACCAGCATTGAAGAGAAATATATGGCCAACAATCCCTCAAAGGTTTACTTTGAATCTTTATAATTCTGTCATCAAATCCTCATTAAATGGGCTTCAGAATTTCAGGAAAACACAAAGACCCTCAGATATTTGTGAATTTTTTTAGGGAGATTACTGTAATGTATAATAATCATAAATCACATGCCCTTTGTCTTTCAGAAGTTGTATGAACCAGTAATTAGCACCCTGAGGACAAAACAGGAAGATGTTTCAGCGACAGTGATCCAGAGAGCGTACAGGAGGCGCCTCCTGCAGCGCGCCATCAAACTAGCATCCTACAAGTATAGAGAGAAGACGAAGGGACGGCGAAACGAGCCGTCCCCACCAGAGACTGAAGGACTCATCTGTAGGCAAATCAGTCAGCTGTACGGAGACAATGAGACAGATTCTGGTGTTAGACATGACGACTGTCCCATCCAGGTGGAGCTTCAAAGGGAGTTCCTCCTCCACTCCGCTCCTCCGCTCAACGACCAAAGTTTTCTGAAAGAGGACAGTCTGAAGGAGTCAGTTGTGTGATTTAAAAAGATGAGGAATGTTTTCTGTCAGAGGAGCAACAAGCCTAACCTGACTGTTAGCTTTGACTTTTCTGAGGAGTAAAATATCACCAGAGATCTTGCAGATCTAACGCCACTGAAGCCTCTTAAAGCTGCCGCTCCATCTGCGGTGTTTGGTTCTTAACTTTCTAACAGAGCTTTTCCAGAAAACATAAACTTTTTGATGAACTTCTAACTCCAACAACTTTAATCTGAAGACTCCTAAACTCAACAGCTTCAATATAGACTTCTAAACTCTGCTTCAATCTGAAGACTCCTATACCCAACAGCTTTAATCTGAAGGCTCCTAATCTCAACAGCTTCAATCTGAAGACTCCTAATCTCAACAGCTTCAATCTGAAGTCTCCTAAACTCTGCTTCAATCTGAAGACTCCTAAACCCAACAGTTTTAATCTGAAGACTCCTAATCTCAACAGTTTTAATCTGAAGACTCCTAAACCCAACAGTTTTAATCTGAAGACTCCTAATCTCAACAGCTTCAATATAGACTTCTAAACTCTGCTTCAATCTGAAGACTCCTAAACCCAACAGCTTCAATCTGAAGACTCCTAAACTCCGCTTCAATCTGAAGACTCCTAAACTCTGCTTCAATCTGAAGACTCCTAAATCCAACAGCTTTAATCTTAAAACTTCTAAACCTTACACCTTCAATCTGAAGACTCTTCCTCTTTTTCTTTTTACCTCCAAGCGACACTAGAGGGCAGTTCAACACAAAATTGGAGGCTTCTGAGGAACAAACCTCCTCTAGTTTTCAGCTCCAGTCAAACCTGGTCAGATGTCCTTGAAAACAGTCTGTTTATGTTCAGAGTCTCAGATTAAACTGAAACTCTGAGCTCCACCTGCCTCAGGTGGAGGAGTTTACAAGTTTCTTGGCCCCGAGGCAGACCCAGAACTCTCTGGTTGGATCCACTCTGGTCTGGGGATGCCCTGGGACCCCCCAAGAGGAGCTAAAAGGGAGGTCTGGATTTCTCTCCTGGAACTGTTGCCTCTGTGACCTTATTTCAGATTAGAGGTAGATTATTGAGATTAAACTGAAACTGGTCACTGATTGTTTATCTGGTAAAAACTGAAACATTTAATCATTTTTAGACCGAAGGACTGAAAGTTGGATTGTGTGTCTATAACCAGTTTAAAGCTCCTGATTGATGTAAATAAAAGTAACTAACAAGAGATTAACATTTCTGTCATCATCCCAAAGGGCCAATCAGAGGGCTGTGTTCAGACGTGTATCAAATGTTGTCATCTTAACACAAAATATAACAACAAAACCGTGTTCTGGATTCTAACTTGGATTAGAACTAACTTGGGTTAGTTTGACCATGTAATATAGTCAGGGTTTGGGGTGGGGGGGTCCCATGTAACCACAGATCACGATGTGACATGTTTTCATATTAAATCCATATTTGCTCTGGGGTCATTTTAACTGCTTATTTTAGATTTATTGCGGATTACTGTATGCTCTCATTGTCTGGCACTGGCGTGACGATGAAGTGAGTCAACCAGTGGGAGCTGGGACTCGGTCTGTCAACAGCCAATCAGAGCAGGTCAACACAACAGGTGTGAATCGGTGAGGACAGGTGTTAAACACAGGAAACTGGACTCAAATGGACCTAACCAACAAAATCACATCACATGAATGTTGTTACAAACTGTTTCTACTGAACAATAAACTTTTCTTTCACAGCATCTTTTATGAAGTAATAATGATGGAGGACATTGTAGAATTGTTTTATGTACAACTCTTTAGCTTGTTGTTCCTGTACAGACTAAACCTGCAGCTGTTTTTGAAAATAATGTTGCTTCACCTGTTTTCTGGTTGATTCATTGTTCAGAGCGCTGGATTTTAAATCTCTGAACGTTGTGATGGCCACAAAATCCAGAACCATTAAAACCTGTAACCGTTTGAAAGAACATTTCAGACGTGTTCCTATTAAAGATCTTGTAACAACCCATGTGAATTTTCTGAGCTTCGGTTCGGCTGCAGAGTGAAGATAAATCTGTTTCTGTTGTTAAGTCTGGATCAGAAATGGGAGACGACCAAAGGTGGTAAGAAACAAAAGGTAAGAACTCATTTTAAGAGCAGCAAAAATTGTGCAATTCTCAGTTTATCTGTAATGCAATTATTGCTGTGCAGACAATGACATCACATGTCATTTACTCCTGCAACAAGAAAAACACTCAGATCAATTTTGGACAAAGGTTAAGAATGTTTTTATTGTGCTTTATTATTATGGCTGAGAACGTTCTGCCCCGAGAACGAGAAACTTGATTATCTCCCAAAACGCTCATCTCGAACCGAGGGATGTCTCTTTGATGCCCATGAACCATATGTTTGTGACGACAGAGTTGTGTGTAAGAAGAGAGCAGCTGGCTTCAAGGATCCCCCCCCCCCCCCCCAATGAACTCTGCTGAGCTGAAAATGTGATAAAAGTCAGCAGATGACACGGCTCACTGCTCATTCCTGTGACCGGTCTTCATGCATGTATGTGTGTATATGTTTGTGTATTTGCTCCTGCAAGTAAAATGTCGATCAAAAATCTTCGCCTGCCGTAACTTGTTGATGTTCTGAATAAACAACGTTAGAGATATGTATACACTATATATATATATATATATATATATATATATATATATATATATATAT